ACCTCTGGCCTGTACCCCAGCTTTGTAAACAAAAACAGGCAGGTGGCCGCAAGCTCCGTACCTGGGGCGCCCCAACAGCGGGGTGACGAGAGGATCCCCTGGCACAGAGAAAGTGACTGAAAGGAAGCGACAGTGCAGCCAACAGGGAGAAGCGTTCCCAGCAGAGGCAGGCGGGCATTCCTTGACGTGGGCAGCCCAGGCAGCCACCAGGGTGAGGAAGGGCGTGGCGGATGGCTCCCGGCTGGGAAAGGCTGTGCGTTTCCTGGGGGTCCCAGGGCGGCACGTGGAGAGGCGCCAGGCTGAACTGCCCAGGCCCAGGGAGAGCGTGACCTCGAGGTGACGCTCATGACACAGAGACGTGCGGTGGGCGGCCCAGGCGGGGCGCAGCCAAGGGCCCCCAGCCTCGCAGGGACGGGAGCCTCAAACTTCCCCTTCGCCCCACCGCCTGGGTGGAGGAGGCCGCGCTCATGATCCCTGCCGGAAGCCCGAGTGCCGCCCTGCCCACACGGGGCCCGGCACGGCCCGCGAGGACACCGAGGCCAAGGCTGACTCGGCGCTGCGGGGGCCAAGGCAGGGCGCCCGGCCTGGGCAACGGGCCGTCTCCTCTGACGCCTAACAACAGCCCACCAAGAGGGCACGGCCCTCCTTCCGCAGATGGGCAGCTGGGGGCTGGCACGGAGAACTCGGCTTGGAAGCAGGTCTGCTGCGCACTTACTGTTTGGCCCCCGGCATCCGGCCACCCTGTCCCCCGCTCTGCCGCTCGGGCTCTGTTCTGGGGCCGCGTGATAACGGCTCCTTCCTAGGCCCGGCCCTCTCCCAGGAGCAAGGGGGGCCCGGCGGCCTCGCGGGGAGGTGAGCGGAGGCCGAGCGCGGAACTCACAGCCGGCCGGTGCCAGTGGAGCCGACGTGGCGCTTGTGGGGAGAGGACAAGAGTGCGCCCCAGTTCACGGTGGGCTTGAGCAGAGGCGGCCTCCCCAGAGACCACAGGCGGAGCTGGCATCTCAGGGCAGGGAGGTGGGAGGGAGGCCGACTCCATGCCTGCAGGCCCCGGGGGCCCCGCGGCCTCTGCGAACACCCACTCACCTGATTGTGCTTGGCGATGGCCTCGTAGGACCGCCGCATGGCCCAGAAGGCCTTGGCCTTCTCCCGCAGCGCGTGCTCCATGTTCCTGCACTTGGCCTGACGGGGAAGAGGAGGGGCGAGAAGGCAGGTTAGGGCGCAGGCGGAGGGGGGCCGACTCAGCACCAGACAGGCCGAGCCCCCTCGGGCCAGGGCGCAGCCGCCACGCTTCCTGGGCCCAGCCCCGCCCCCACCGCAAGGTCCGGGAGAGGCAGGCGCGGTCCTGACCCGGCTCACACAGAGGCCCAGACAGGGCAGCAAAGGGGGTCCCTTCCGGCCAGCCGGGTCCAGGCAGCAGCTCGCGGGGCTTTTGTGAGCCTGTCACTGCCCGTGTCCCCGCCTCGCGTGTCCGAATCTCACAGGGCTCGGGTGAGGACCGGGCACTACTGGACGGTCACTGTGAAATCAAACGCTTCTGGTAGCTGTTTTGTCTTTTCAACTTAAACCTCCAGCTCGGGTTCCTCGGCAGACGCTGCTGGGTGCAGCGTGGACCCCACCGCCGGGCTCCGGGACCGTCCCCTTCTCTGGACATTCTGAAACGGCCCGACCAGCGTTTCCTTCTGACTCCCCAACGCAAAGCCTCAGCCTGAACTGGCAGTCACCGGCCACTGGAGGGCAGGGCCCTTCTACTGGGGGGGCTGGAGCTTGTCTGGGTCCTGGGGTGAATCAATGCGACAGAGTCCCCTGACTCAGAAATAACTCACCACGTCAAACCCAACAGGAACATTCTGCTTGCAAGAGGGAGGCCGCGCTGTGTGTTTACGTTCACCTCCCCGTCCTACGCAGTCACCCCAGACACTGCCGGGCGCTAGCGGGCTTCAACGGACGTCCCCGCACTGTGTGCGCCCCCTCAGGCCCGTATGCAGCCCACAGCACCTGCAGGAGCAGACTGGGGAGTCCCTGGGGAGCCCTGGTGTGAAGCTTGGTCACATCGCTGACCCGTGCGCAGCTAAGTGGCCTGAGGCACATCAGGGGCGTCACCCGGGCCCCACGCCCAGGGGAGCCGAGAGTTCCGACTGTGGCATCAAACCGAAACACGTAAGTTATTCAGCGCACACAACGTGGCAGCTTTATTTACATTACAGGAGTCGAGTGCGATTTTACCGTCGCTTTTCACTTTGAGCTGCAATTCCTGAAGCCGCACAGTTCGAGTGCAGTTGAATGCACGTTGCACGACTGTTTCACCCACAATATCTGGGTGCACAAGCTTTAGGTGATATAACAGAAAGCTCAGAGGCTAGAGTTTGACCTCCCGTGACTATCCTTTCTCAGCCACCCCGCCCGCTTCACCCCTCACCCCGCCATCACAAGGTGGCCTGGGAAACTGGCACCACCCTCTTCTGCCCGGCCCCGGGCACTCCTCCAGGGAGCCGCCCTCTCCCCAGGCACTTGGGTGCACCTCTAGGGGTTCTCCCGATCCTGATCCCCAATCACTGTCCTACCCCCGTCCCAGACTATCACCTCTGCTGGAAAAGCGGAAGCTTCCCAGGGCTGGACCCCACGCACAGGCCTGCACCCAGCTCGGGAACTCCGCCAGCCTCCGCAGCCAGCAAAGGCTGACTCTGCGCTCCCCGGCCCCCTGTACCCGCAGGCCCAGTGAGCAGATGGCCCAGAAGTCCTTGCCCACAGCTGTGGGGCTCTTTGCTTGCCGCATGCCCGGCTGACCTGAGTCAGGAGACCCCACCGCGGCCCTGTCTTTGAGAGAACCGTGAAGGGCTCTCCCTGACCGTCAGGCTCCTCACCTTAAAGATGAAGGCACAGAAGTTTCCATGCTCACTGACCTGATCTCAAAAAGGAAGAGCTTCTGCCCACCCGGCCCTTCGCCGGGACTTCAGCTTGGGTCTTTTTGCTGCTGTGTTTCAAACATTTGACTTCAGCCAGATCTACGGGGCAGCTGAGAGCGTTCAGGCCCAGCTGCCCTCGTTCAAATCCCAGCTCTCCAACTGGACACGGCGACTCTGAGCAGGGCTTCACCCCTCTCACCTCGTCTCCTCATGGGGAAGAGCGCTGAGGATATCACCTGCCTCGCAGGGACACCGAGGACCCAGGACTGACTCCGCCCGGCTCACAGGACAGCTGAGGGCCCAGGACTGACTCGGCCGAGGACCCAGCGCATCAGCCACGTCCAGCGCCCGCTGCCCCTGCACTGGGGTCCGACTCCCCCACAGGGACCTCCCCAGTGTCCTCAGTGGACACAGAAGTGAGCTGGGACAACCCGACCTTGGTCGGGGTCCAGCCTGCTCCGCCGTGCCCAGACGCCCAGACTGCCATAGAAGCGGGTGTGTACCTGGGGCTGGGCCCCCGGCTCGAGGCCCTCAGCCAGCGGCTCCCATCCTCCCACCATCCTGGATCCGTGGGCCGCCCATGAGCTGGGGATGGGATGGCGCTGAGCAGAGGAAAAGGAAAGACCCGGAAGGGGAAGGCTTGGAATGTGCCCAGAGAGGTGTGCTGACACTCCTGTCAGATGTGCCACGGAGGAGGGGTGGAGGAGGGGGCCTGAGGGGGCCCGGGGCCCGGGCAGATGTCGGCCCTGACGCGGGAAGGCTGGGCTCGCATCCTGGCTGTGCCGTCAAGCAGTCATGGCTGTGGGGCTGTGCGTGTGGGGGCCTGTGTGTTCCCGGAGTGCTCCATTCCATGCAGACACGGAGGACCCTCCCGCACGGCGTGGGCACGCCGGGGTTCTGTTAATGACGCTCTCGACGCCAGGCTCCCCAGGGTGTGTTCCTTTAGCTCTGGCTGCACTTAATCCGCAGAGCTCCTCTGGTTCACTGCCCAAGCGCAGTGTAGGAAAAGGACATGATGCTAGCTTTGTGTTTGTGTAAGTACCATGGTGACAGACCTGGGTCTCGCCCGGCCCTTCCACCTCCGAGGTGTGCATGCCCAGTCACTGCCCTGCACGACGCCCTCGGGCCCACCGAGCCCCCGCGTGCCCTCAAACGCCCGGGCCAGGCTTCCAACGCTCGGGTTCCTTCCCTTTGTCCCACGGCACTCGGGACAGAAGCCCAGAGCTGGCCAGCCCCAGGGCCTTCCACAACAGCAGGCTGAGGCTGCCTGTCCTCTCCCGACCTCGGGAGCCTGGCGTGTGCGTACCGGGCTCCCGTCCGACCTGCCGGCAGGCACTGGCCGTGGTCCTCAGGCATCCCCGCTTCGAGCGCGCCCACCAGCGTCGGCTGCCCACACATGTGGCTCCCGAGCGGACCAGCGGGAGCGTCCCAGCCAGCTCTCCAGCACCCAGAGCTACCCCCGATCGATTCCCTGACTCCCCAAGGTGCCCAGTGTGAGCCCCATGGACCTGGGCTCAGTCTTCCTGCCCGCAGCACCCAGGACACCCCAGCAGGTCTGGGAACACAGGGTCTAGATAGTTCTTGACGGGCGGCATGTCCCACCTGCCTGCGAGCACCCCCGGGGGCCGAGGCCGCCTGCTCACACACGCCACCAGCACCCATCCATCTGGCAGCCTCAGTCCTCTGGAGGCTCAGGATAAGGCCCCTGGCTCCCTGCACCTCCATGCTCACCGAGCGGGCCCTCCAGAAATGCTCAGAAGTCGGGGCTCCCTACATCAGCCCGGTAAGAAGCTGCTGAGCCCAGCCCTCTCCCGGCCTCCACCCGGCACCCAGCCCTCGGGTTGCCGCAGGCAGCTCGCAGAGGGCAGGATCCGGCCGCCTGGCGGCATCCCTGGGCCCGGCAGCGCCAGGCGGCTCACGGCCCTGAATCCGGCTCAGCCCGCTCTGCCCTAGCGTTCTCGGCCTGCCGGCCGCCGCCCATCTTCTGTTCTCACCTCTCCAGCTCCGTGGGGCTTAGTCATGACGAAGCCCGAGCTGCCCCGGGCCCTGGCCCTGAATGCAGCATTTACTGTGGCTCTCCGGGATCAGGCCTGGCGCTCTGGCAGGGGGCAGCTCCGGGGCCACTGATGGACAGGAACGGCGGAGGGCCCCCCGCCCGCAGGCTGACACCTGCATCCCACCTCACCCGCCACACGTATACGGGGCTGTCACCAACTCTGGGTTTCTCCTAGGAAGGCAAAGGGCACGGAGACCAGGCCAGGGCGCGCCACGCCGCCTTGCCACACAGCCCCTCCCGGCCGGGCCGGCTGCTCCACACCGAGTCTGGACTTAGCAGCTGGTCGAAATGTCGTGTTTGCCACCCTGTGTGATTAGAGAAATGGTGCCCAAACAGAAACTTCCAGAGGACAACGGCATTTCACAAAACTTCTGTTTCGGCGGGTACACGGTACCAGCGCCCTGGGTCACCAGGGAAGGCGCTCAAACTCCTGACTTGACTCTACTTTCTCTCATTTTCCTTTCCTAAACTGCAGAATTCGCCGCTATTTTTGCCCTTGCTTTACTTACAACCACTGGAAGCTAGGGACTGGGATGCTGACAGAAGGCTCCAGAACCGTCCGGCTGGCCAGGGCCAGAGGCCACCCCACAGCCACACAGCATGGGGACCAGCCTGGAGGTCCCGGCCCCTTCACCGCCATCACAAGACACCCTGCCCTGGGCCTCAGACCTGAGGGCGCCAGGCGCCAGGGGGCACCCACCTGAGCTCTCCAGGACAGAGCCACACCCTGCTGGCACGGAGGGCCAGGAGCCCTCCAGAAGAGGGTGGGGCTGTCTGGGGAACATTTATCCCACTGGCCACACTTCCTGTTTACCGCTCTCTTCTCCCACCTCAGGGCCCCTGGGCGCCCAGGGGCGCCGGGGGAGTGCAGGCGGGCAGAGTCGGGGTTTGGGGAGCCAGGCGGAGACGGCCGCCCGTGGACGGCGGCGCAGGCCAGCTGGGGCCCCGGGATGCCGGGCGGGATCCCCGCTGGCCGGCACGTGCGCGCAGCCGCTCACCCGAAAGTCGTGGGCGGTGTCCTTCACCGGCTGCACGCGGTGGCCCTGGTGCCGGGGGTCGGCCTGGCACGCGCAGCACAGCAGCTCCTTGTCGTCCAGGCAGAAGAGGCTGAACTGGCCGCGGTGCGGGCGGCAGAGGCGCGGGGAGCGGTGGCCGGCCCAGCGCGCGCCCTCGGCCTCCTCGCGCAGCAGCTTCTCCACCAGGTTGTTGAGCGTGTGGTTGGTGCGCAGGTCGGCGGGCGCCGCGCGGTCCTTGCACACCGGGCAGGTGGGCGCCACTTGCACCTCCCAGCAGCGGGTCACGCAGCCGCGGCAGAAGTTGTGGCCGCAGCGCAGCGTCACGGCGTCGCGGAAGGGGTCGTAGCAGACGGCGCAAAGCAGCTCCTCCTTGAAGGAGCGGGAGGGCCCTGGGGACGCGGCGGGGCCCGGCTCCATGGCCCCCCGCAACCGCAACTTCGGCCGTGCCCCTCCCACCCG